CAGCGCTTCCATTCATGGTGGTAAACTCCAAAGTCACCTCGTTTTCACGAAGCACCAATACATTGTCGGCCATTTGATCCCAGGTGGCGTTTTCTTCGAGTCCAAATTGCTGACGGAAAGCGTTGGCTTGTCGGAGGGTCTCGGCCATGAGCGGCATTGTGTAGCCACCTGCATCAACGTGGTTGGCATACTCATCCTACTTTAGGTTAGTTTTGGATGCTGAGATACATAGGGCGCCAAACTTACAGGGTCGGTCATGTTGGTCAATGTCCAATAAGACCCGTTTCGAACCATCAGGTCCGCATATAGAGTAGCCGCCGAATCGTAGATCGGGAAATGTTCTTCTTTGAATAGTTTTGTATTGCCACTTGTAACCCATTGGTTAACCAAGGAAATTCCGATGTCTCCGTTCAGGTGATACTGGTAGTCCCAGCAAGCACCAGTGGCAGTACAGTTACCAAAACGGCCACTGGTCCAGGGGAAGATTGCAGCTGATGGACTGAAACGTGTCTGGTTCTGAGAGCCAGTGAAAGCAGTCTTGATATTCTCTTGTGCTTGGGCGTACTTGGCCACACGGAAATTTGTGAAGCGCTCGGATGCCTCTGGATGAGAGGCAACAAGACCAGGCTGCATCCATACATCTGAATCCCAGAAGACTTGGCCACCATAGGAGTCAGAGGTTAAGCCACCAACTGAGATACTGTCCACATTTACTGGTGCTCCCGCGGCTTCCTTGACTCCATTCTTGCCAACAGTATTCTGTAGCAAGTAGTAAGTGTTGGCCACGGAGATTACTGCAGAATCAATGATGTGGCTATCGGCAGGCAATGTCCCATTGGGGAAGGCGTAGTGGTCAACCGAAGCTTCAGGCATAACATTTTCCCATTCGACGATGTGGGCTCGAAGAGAGTTGGTGTAGCCATTGCTCATCGCGGCGAAAGCAGCCTCCTTGGCTGTTTGTTTCGGATCCGCAAAGGCATCTGTAGAGGCAGCTCCGACATATTTGATGACGCGAACTACCTGACCAGGCTTGAATTTCACATCCACGGATTGCGCAATGGACGATTTGTTAGAGTGAACATATGGCTTGTCGGACACAATCTTGCGCGAAGAGAGGTCCACATTTGGTGACCCAGTGAGGTTTGTGTAGACATAAGCTGTGACATTAGGAATACCATTCGGCCGTACTGCCGAGAAGATTGCACCATTGTCTTCGCCAGTCTCCACAAAGTCGGTGCGCACCGCAGAAGCTCCATCGATGACATTAACGATGGTCGCATCCAACCCCATGGTCGGGATAATCTCCATTTCGACTACGGCCTGATTGACGTACAGCTTGTGAGCGAGAAGTCGATAGGTAATCTGGTACGATCCCTTCTTGCCACGAGGCGTCCATTTGTAAGACCAGACCAAGATGCCCGCTTTGAAGTCGTATGTGGTTCGGAAATTGGAGACGGTCTTGTTGTCGACCTTTGCATCCAAATAGGTATCATCACCAAGATCCAAGATGATTCCCGCCCAGTGGGGAACACCACTGATCACACTGTCATCTCCATACTGGGACAACCAGGGAAAGTTGCTGCCATTTGTAGTAGGCTGAGAATCAAAGAACCCACTGACTGTTGCAAAGGTCTGGCGCCTAGAAAAAAGTGGCCAGCCGTTGGTGTCATCGGGACTATCAATCTCAAAGAAAGGACCAGCACTAGCAACATTAATACCCAAATATCCGTTCGCCACGGATCCCCGAGATTGAAAGCGACCCTGTTCCAAGTTGGTTGTGCTCAGAAGCCACTTGTCTTCGTCCCAGGTCACGCCATCAAAGCCGGTCTGGTACACATTTTTGCTGAAGTTCGTTGTCGAGTTAGAGCCTGTGTGTTCTCTCAGGCATCTTGTGATACGACTTTCAGGAGAGCCGCTGACAAGATTCAGAAGTAGCGGTAATACCGCGCACGTGAAGGACTAAGTAGAATGTCAGACGATTGAAAAACGCAACAAAGGTACAAAACTACCAACCTTGAACTGCATGTCGCAGTTACACCACTTCGCCAACCAGATCAAATTCTCGAATAAATCACCTAAAATCAAGTTGAATGAGAAGAAGCGACCGGCACTATACATGGGGAAGGGAGGAAGGCGAGTTTTAAGGAAAGATGAAGATTTCAGGGCGCTTTCCTAACTCAGCAACAAATGAGATGATCCAGACACAATAATTTCAAAATCGCTCAGAATAGCTATGAACGGCAAAATGTGGGGAAATACAGTTGGTTCTCAGTTGATTATACGAGTTCTAGTCATATGTGGAGGCCTGGCATCAGCCAAGGGGGGAAAATGTCGTACGAGGCTTACACTATGTAAACCGGGTGTCCTGCAACCGGACCCCCAGAGAACCGGGAAATGCGGGGGGGGCAGCCACAAACATGACAGTATATATGAAGTATTATTGGCTTGTATTGGTTAGGAAGACCGAAAGCTTGGTCTCCATCGGCTTCACGGCCAAGACCTGCCCGGGTTAAGACCGGCTCGTCCCAGATCGTCATCGGCACAGGGTGCGAGGGGGATTTTGTGGGGAAGTTGGGGGTTACATTTAGTAAATTGTCCGAAAAAAATCACGTTTGGGGATTCAGTGAGAGGGTAGATCAGAGTATTAGAGTGATTATTATTGGAACTTCAGAAGAGATGATGGTTCAAAGGATCAAAGGTTGAAGTCCAAGTGTGGTGGGATATATCGATGCCTCAGGTGTCTATTTATCAAACACAATGAGCAGACGGCAAAAAAATGCGGAAACAAAAGCATACTTGGTGCAAGAGGCTTTTCTATGTATAATCTTTTGACTCACATCTTCTCCATTTTAGGTGATAGCTTGAATATACCTAGGTATTAATATGTGCTTAAGTTATTTGACTTCATTTCATAGGTCATCTCAGATCATACTTGTGCCCGGTCCCCAGCGGATCAACCCTTCTCTGCACATGATTTCCAGTATCTACATTTTGGAACAAAATAGAAGGCTGAGCCTTGTCAAAAAAGCGCAGGAATGGGGTTGAAGCGCGAGTCAATCGTTTTGGATGTCATCTCAAGCAAGCTGACAGCAATTCTCGCTCGATATTTTCCGTGGTCATTCATTCATTGCTATTCACATGGGCGTGTCCATGGTGCGAACTCTCGCGTCGTAACTAACGCTTGGTCAAACGGGTTTGGACTCATGACGGGTCTTATCTGCCACGCCGGTGATTCTCAAGTTTGTTCTTCCTCTTCTTCTTCGTCGTCGTCGTCGTCGTCGTCGTCGTCGTCCTCGTCGTTCTCGTCCTCGGAAATTTCGCCAAGGGCACTAGGCGCAGCAGGCGAGGACTCCCTCTGTTCTGGGACGGCGTTGCTTGGCCTGGAGTGCACAGTGAGCGCTCTCTCACCCACGAATCTATCACCGGGCCAGTCCTTTTTACACACGGGGCATTTCTCTGTTTGTTGCATGCGGAAGAAGTTGCGCATGCAATGGTCATGGAGCCGACCATTGCATCCATGGTCCTCGCAGCGTTGGCCCTAAAGTGTCTCGGTCAGGTCTGTTTCATACTCACTAGGGATTAAGTATACTTACCACAGTGATGATATCTTTACAGGCAGCACAAAACTTGATCCGCTCTATGGGTCGGTCATCGACGTCGTTATACGTCAAGATCAACCAGCCCCGCAACTCCATCAGCGCTCGTGGTGTGAGGCTGAGGTAGCCCTTCCGGCTCTTCTGCAGCCAGCCCTCTTCAATCAAGTGGATAATCATGGTTTCTGCCTGGGTCATGCGCAATGACTGTACCGCTGCGGTCTGGGTCTGTGTTGAATCGTTGCTCGTAGATTGCCGTTCGCTAGATGGAGCCTTATGTAGTTGAACGGCTTGCATCTGCGAAGCCACCATTCCTTCGCACACTCGTGTATTATTTGTGACAAACATGTAGTCAAGCAAGCGCTTGAGAAATGCAATCTCGTCTGGAGAATAAGTGGTCGCGAGTTGTGTCAAAGCATCGCTCGTAGTATTTACAAGCGCATACACTCGCTTGGGTGGTATTGTTGAGCCATCTGGCTGGGCCGGTTGGAGGACTTGTGGCAGTGAGCTTCTGATTTCGAGGTCGAATGGTGACACGGCGGTGTTGGCGGCCGAGATAAAGTCGGAGAATTGGTCTTCCCCGACCTCCTCAGGTTCCACTGTTCGCCCCTCTGCTCGATAATTTCAAAGTAAGCAACTACCGCCAGCCCGAAATGTGGATTAAACAGGAGTCAAGTACCAGATATTGTTAATATCGCAGCTAGAATGGGCTGCGCATCTTCAAAGGTCATGGACGAGCGTGCCATGAACGCCTGGAGAAAAGCACGATTGCTGTCGTCGTATTCGGGCATATTTGCTACGATAACTTCTGGTCTGGGGGTTTCGGAGTTCGCAATATCATTGAGTTCGAGGTCCTTTGTGCCAACGAAGCTCTGGCTTTGACGCGATTCGACGCGCTCGCGTGGCTGTAGATGAAAGAAAGATAAGAACTGCCGATAAGGAAGCTTAGTAAATTTGTTGATTCCTGAGGCATTCTATTTCTATCAACCTTCGAAAAAACGAAGAGAAAACTATGTAGGAAACTCGGTTTCTATTCCTAGACAGACTGGGTAAAGATCCAGGAAAAAGGATGTTTGAATTATCAGGCATCTCAACAATAAGTTGATGCCTCGGACATCCACCCTTGAACAGCCCTATGTAGTATCGTCCAACTTAGCTATATAGGTATATCTATAATACAGTTCGAGCATATACTCCGATATTGGAAGCTTCTGTCACTTATGTAGGGCTAACAGCATGATTATACAAACCTACGGACCAAAGTGAAACTGCGCCAGCTGACTCTGTGTGTTCCTACCTCCATGAAGCTTGAGATACATTGAATCAGGACTCTTTTTCTAGAGTATAAGACCCTAACTATGATTAAACTACGTGGTACATATGATCGTGTTTCTAATGACTTGGACACTATAGCCCTAAATATGCTGTCGAGATCATCATAGCTAGCATCAGCGTGGGATCTGGGCTAGTAGGGACTTCCAAGAGATCTATGGCTGCGGGAATGAGCACTGCAAAGTCAATCGAATCCAGTTCTGACAGTTCCGGCTTGTCGACCTCTCCTGGTACAATTGCGGGCGGTGTTGTTAGCGACGTTGTAGGCGCCGGTGCTATTAGAGCCTGTGGCATCTTCTTACTTTGGAAGAGGAAGTCGCGCCAGCAAGTTGGATTGGATGATTTAAGGAAGGTGCTATCAAAGTCTGTTCCAAAAGTCCAGCCTCTTCGTTGCGAAGCTACCATCGCCAGATTATGGAAGCACCATTGTGTGTAATAGCGTGGTGTACCAAAAACAGACGTATCGGGTATGTACAATCCATGGAATTATTATTCGATGTTTGCGATGTACTTTACTTCCATGATAAGCTTTTGTGAAAGTATTAGTAATTAGGAATAAGGGAATTGCAATTGTCAGACAATGACTTGTGAATTCAGTGCTAGAATGCGGTGTTTCAATGCTGTGCCTTTGAATCAGCTTCTTTGGCCGATATTACTCGGTGGGTGCTGGTCAACGTACTAGATTCGGCTTCAACTAAAATACACAATGGAAATTACTGAGCAAGATTTGTACATGCAGTCTAGCTGTAAGTTTTATTGTTCGCGCAAGTCTGATATCATAACTGCAAATGCCAATCAACAAAGGTAAAGACCGAGACCCCATGCCCTAGATGCGCCGCTGCGCAAAGGAAAGTGGAATCGAACCACCGACTGATATCGCCGAACGCCAAAGGATCAAATGTATTGAAACAACAATGAGAAAGAAAGTCAAGGGCGGTGGTACACCACTAGTATCTCCGCCGGGCGGGCTCAGGGCTAGGGCTTCGGCTGGCACTGCGAGGATCTCTGCCACGCTCCTTGAGCCACTTCTTGGTGCTGAGTCGGAGTTCGCGGTCAAGCTCGGGTGAAGGATCTTTGCGGTGAATGAAATTGCAGAAGCCCCCTCGTACACACCCTTCACCGCTATTGAGACGACAACAGGCTTCTCGGAAATCCGTGACGGGTGATAACTCGCAGTATATAGGTCGCGCTGCGTACCAACGGGAGTTTAACGCATCACATGCCGCCTGCGCATCTTCTTCGTATTTGAATCGGCCGTAGACGTTGCCAATGAGATCTATTGTCGCGAGACCAGATGTTAGTAAAGAGTCGGACATTACAAAGAGAACATTACTTACGGTCGTTGTTGTTGTCGCAGATAACCAACTCTTCGATCTCGCCGTACTTGCACAGCTCACACCATACGTCCTCGTAGAAGGCGTCGAAGTGGTTCTGCATCTGGCTGGGGTTCATCTTGTTCTTTGGGTCGTAGGCCGGGTTCTGATACATGTTCGGCATGAGAATGGTTTGCGAGTACGAAGGCTTGACATGCTTGCGAGAGCAGCGATCACCGTGTCGACATGCGCCAATTTTGTAATAGAAGGAACAATTGACCTTGTCCTGCTCGGTACCGAAGATGGATGCAAGGTAGTTGGCCATGGTTGCTTACTGTCAAGCTCTGATTTTGGCTGGGAAGGATTTGAGGAAGGGTGAGATGAGAGGGTCGGTTCGCAGGAGAACACGGGCACAAATGGAAGGAGGGCAAAGTTGCTTTAAAAGCTGGGTGATATCGGATGCCTGAAGTTTCTGGAGAGCTCGAGTGGCGCGAATAATTGATGACTAAACCTGGGGAGCTGCCCGGTCGGATTATCTATTCTCCGATATACAGTGGAACCTCTTAACGTATTGAGCGGCATTTTGTACCCTCATATACAATGAGGGTACAAAATGCGGTTCAATACTTTGAAGGTCTCACTATACATACCTACATGCATCTATGTAGCAAAGCTATTCTGCACCTTTTTTCACCGCATATATTGTATATTTCACGGCTAGATATTTTTATTCTATTAGCTGTAGCACTAGGAAGTATGAAAAAGGCCTAAAGGCTTGAAAAATAACTTGATAATGTTGAAGATGCATTCTACTAAGCTACCAGGCTACGTCCGCTTTGTAGAGCTCTCCTTAGGAACCTGTTAGTGTATTTTTGTAAATGAAGTCTCCTTCACTTACCCAAATGTAGGTGTCTTTTCCTTGTCTATATTCCATATCTCTCAAGTCTGACCCAGTCGTCTGGCTGCAGGGTCCGTCTGACGTGTTCTGTAATGTTTTCGTTCAGGCTTGCTGGTACTAGGTACAGAACCGGGGCTAAATTGGTTTGGAATGGAGGTCAATTAGAGATCTCTGGTTTGTTCTCGTTCTTAGGCCGGACAGTGTGAGCTGAATATTTGCTAATATAAGTTAGATTAAGAGGTGATAAGACTCAATCGTAGACTTACCTTTGTGTCTGTCAAACGAGGTGATAACAAAGAACAGAAGCACGTAGTAAGAGACAGTGGAAAACATGAACCTAGACAGCGAAAGATAGCCTAAATCAAAATAATATTGACAAGATAGGTCAACATATCTGTAAAAAATAAAAATAAAAAGGGAGGAAGGTAGTTGAGTCTTAGGTCGTAAGGCTCTGGAGCTTGTCTGTGGAACCATTGTTGTCAAAGTTAATGATCCGAAGACTCTAAGAATCCCAAAGTATAGTCAAAATTGACTTGTCCTTCATAAATAGGCACGCCTGTTCGTGCGCGGACGTAGTTCCCATTTTAGCTAAAGGAAACTCTCAGTGGTGTTGAGGGGCAGAGAAATGGGATGGCTTCCATATCAAAGTTGAGGAAAGAGTTCGAGGGTCTCAGCGTGAATCTCGAACGGTATGACATCCATGAGATTAAAGGAGAAGTACGTGGTTACGATGTTGTGATTTTGTTTTGCTGACCTTAGGGAAAATATGTCTATAGCTCTTTTCTATTGTAAATAATGCTCACAGCTTGGAACTAGGAACTTTTTCTTGGACAGCCAATCCGCTCACATCCACTGAAAGCTTTTGCTTTTTGATCATCTCAGAAACAACCTTTCCAGTTCCCAAGCTCAAAGAGATTCCCCACGCACCGTGCCCAGCAGCTATGAAGACGCCTCCCTTCGGGCTTGCTTTTACTCCTCCCAAAGAGTAATCTCCAACTCTTCCGATTGTGGGAACACCGGTATTTCCCACTGGGCGGAAGCACAGCCCTTCACGAATAACCTCCAAGTCATCTGTGTTGGCCACCTCATCGGTAGCCTCCTTTGTATCCTTGGGAAGACCTCCCATTAAACGAACTGCAACATCCTTGAGCTTTTTCATCTCGGAGGGATCAAAAAGCCGGTCGGTATCCGCAGAACAAGATGGAAGCTTCATCGCGGGGTTATTGAGACCAGCGATATAAATCTCTCCGCCTTCTCTGAGGAAGATCTCGGGGCTAAACCCGCAGGACGGAGGGTGTGTGGTGAATACAGCATGGCTGCTTCCACGGTAAACATTCCTCTCGTGCTCCATTGTATACCGAGGGGATCGAACAACCAGTGAATAGCCAGCCAACGGCGATATATCAAATGATACCTGAGAGGAGGGGAACAGATCTCTGAGAACCTGTGGTGTCCACGGCCCCATACTCAGAACAAGGTTCGTACACGGGATGATTGACTCCATCTTGGAATCCAAAGACATGACTTTGACGCCAGTAATGGTGCCGTTTCCATCCTTGACCACTTCCGTGGCCTGGGCTGGATTATGAAGCTTAACGCCTCGGGAGACAGCACCATCGATGAGGAATTGGCTCAACCGTAATGGATCTCTGAACACAGTCAGCAAATCATCCCCGAAACAATTGAATTTTATACTCACGCTTGAGCCACGGTTTCCCCCTGGCTGATTTTCTCCAGGATTCCCTCTTTCTGCATAGTCAACCATTCCGGAAATTCAACCGGAGTGGTATCCTCGGATCCAGCCGCGGTTTCTGCTCTACTAGTGCCCGTTCGCAACCAATCGTCACCGCGGGGACCGCCGCGCTTGCGTTGAGCAACAGTATCCAGATTGAATGCTGTTCCTTTCATAAATCCCCACCTTTTCTCCCCACCTTGCGCTGTGGCGAGCTCATGGTGCAAGTCGAAGGACATAGCACCAAGAGGCGCAAGAGATGGCTCGAACCAATCCCTGGCTAGGAAACCCGCGGCATATCCCGAAGCTGCGGTGAATAGCTCTGGGGATTGTTCAACGATGTGAATCTCGCCTTCTGGCTGGTTGGCAGATAGGTAGTACCCAATTGAGGCTCCAATGATGCCTCCTCCAAGGATGACAGTCGACATGCTGGCTGTGTAGAATTTCAAACGCTTATCAACGTAGATTGTCGGAATGAAACGTTGGTAGCAATTGTTGTTTGCAGGCGGGACCGTTCAAGCTTATGTTCCTCGGCAATCTATGATTTTCCTTTCCGGTTACCTTAACACCGGGCCGGGAATATGTACCAGTGGTGGGATGGCATAGCGGGGAGGAATTCCATGGCTTGGCACAGTAGGGGAAGGGCTGATCGCAAAAGTTGACTCTTTTAGGCGATCGTTCAAGTATTCCTATCGAAAGTGGATCTCTCGGATCGCTTCTCTGAAATCGGTTACGACTTTCTCAATATGTACTCCGTACGGAGTACGGCTTCATAATATATATTGATAGATTTTCCATCTGATAACCGGTGTCTTGAAGTATAGATTTATGCTTTAAGGTTAATGTGATTTCGAGATCACAGTCCGAGCGCTATTGAGGAACCACGATGAAGATGACCCCTTCAATCGCTTATTTTTATATTGCAAATCAAGCGACGAATTCAAACATTGTACTATAGCTCAAATATATCCCTAAGGGTTCTATTCCATATACTATATGTATAATACAAGGTATACATGACGTCTTCACCTGGGCCCGGGAGCCCCGCGGGAAACTTTCCGAGATTACCTTACCACGCCTGGCCAAAGGGACACTAATGCCAATGTTAAATACGGTACAACTGCATACAATAAATTAAATACTCAAAGTGTGAGCTACCATACTGGTAATTAGTTAATATCAACTATTGGTATTAGTATTACCGGCCCAAAAAAAACCAAAGTGTCATTCCTGTATTAGTGTCCCTTCTCGGCCAAGCTGTCATGTGAAGGTGCAAATAAGCGCACTAAACCTTCCTTTCGTGCTTTCCAAGGTCTATCATTCGTCATAATTGATATTCGACAAAACGTCTGTTAAATTTGAATGTAAGTAAACTAGCCAGCTAGCCAGACCTCAGTTTCCCAATGCTCGAGTTTCTGGCTTTCCAGTCATGTTTGTTCGCCCATATCCTCCCGACCCGACACAGCTCATGTTTATGGAACCTTTAATTCCTCAATTGGCATTACCTTTAGTATACGAAGCCATATTGACAAGCATGCTCCTTGCTGTTATAATCTCGAACCCGGCATCCTGCCTAGCTCTTATTTGACGCGGTGTTGCTTTTCTATTGCAAGCTTCATATTACTAACCCCACTATAGCATTCATCAAAATGGCAGCCAAGACCATCATTATCACCGGAGCCTCAAGAGGTACCAGCCCTCGAGCTTTGTGGGCCGTCATATACTGACAATATCCCCCTAGGTATCGGTCTTGCTGTGGCCAAGTATCTGCTCACAGCACCCCAATCCCACAATGTGGTGGTAGTAGCCCGCAGCGTTGAACCCCTCCAAAAGCTCAAGGAGCAATACGGCAAACAGGTGGCAGTCCTGAATGGCGACCTGGCAGACTTTTCTCTTGCCCAACAGGCCGTCGACACAGCCATCAAGACCTTCGGTCAGCTCGATGGGATGGTCCTCAACCACGGCGTGCTAGGCCAGATCGGCAAAATCGCCGAGGCTGATGTGCAGCAGTGGAAGGAAGGCTTCGATATCAACTTTACGAGCTTTGTTGCTTTTGTACGCCACCTACACCAAAATCTACCATGCATTACTAACAGAACCTAGGCCAAGGCGGCTCTCCCGGCTCTCCGAGAGTCCAAGGGAAAAATGATCTTCACCTCTTCCGGTGCAGCAGCCGCGGGCACTGGTTACCGCGGTTGGGCTCTCTACGCTGCCACCAAAGCCGCCATGAACAACTTCGCCATGAGCTTGGGTGCTGAAGAACCCGACGTCACCACCATTTCTATCAGACCTGGTATGGTCGACACCGAGATGCAGCGCGCTCTGCGAGAGGATCATGCTAAGGGACTGGACGCCGAAATGCTTTCCAAGTTCACTGGAGCCCATGAGACTGGCAAACTCCTCAAGCCCGAGCAGCCCGGCCATGTTATGGCCAAATTGGTGCTTGATGCGCCGAAGGAACTCAGCGGTGGTTTCTATTCGTATGTGCTATCCCACTCAGTTTACGCGAGATACTAATAATTGGCAGATGGAACAGCAAGGAACTTGAGGCTTTCCAGGAATAATGATATCATTGATAGCTAGTATGTATATTTTGTGTTCATATCTGTATTCTTTATAGCAAGTCAGTAACGATCGCCATAGAACAATGAGTGCAAGAATTGAGGCAATGATTGTTTATTACAAGTCAGTCGAAAGATGAAAAGCAATACATTTTATAAGCATTAGGTGCAGCACACCTTCATGTTTAGCATGGAATGTAAGGGTATACATCATGTAATTGGAACTGGAAATATAGCAAAAATTTCTGCGCGTACCTTTAAATACAGATGTAAAGGTTCCCATCCTCCCGATCTTGTTCCCGAGAATGTAATTCAAGTAGAAACGAGTTCAAATCTACAATAACCAAGTTGATTTCCTGTGATTCTTCAATAAAGTTAGCAACAGCTTCAATCAAATGAAGAGAGATGCAAATAGGCAGAATTGATGTAGATCAGATAGTCCGTTTGGCTAGGACAGGTTTGGTCACCATAGAATGTATGATAGGGGCGAACACAATAAATTCATCATGATAGAATAGAGATTGGGAAAGGGGTTTCGAGCAATAGCTTACCATTAGTGATTGGCCTTGGAAAGAGTCGATCTCATTTGAAGGACTCTTTCCAAGGTAGTTGGAGGAGAGTGAAGACTGATGAAGAAGAAGTAAAAACGAGAAAAAATTCAGCGCATTTTATGTAGTTGAAAGCGGTATAATTCTGCCGGCAAGAAACTGTACTTAACTCCGTCGCGCGCCTGCAATGGGCCTTGAAACTTTGAGCCCCACGCAAAACATCAAAGAAATTAAAGCATCACATTCTGCGCTTCTCCCTTGAGATCTAGCACTTGCTCTTTATTCGCCTGTCACAATATTACCTGATTCGCTATGTCTGACCGAGAATTTAACTGTAAGTGATTTCTAGATCTTGGCCGCCTACGCGTAACATGCTGACCTGTACGTGAATAGCAAACGATGACCTATCGCTGCCTAAAGGTATGGTGCAACGACCCTTGTGAATATGTATAGCTCTTTGTGGGGCTCTTTGCCGCATCACCGCATATGTGCTTATGGCTTCACATACGCGTTTGCTAGCATTTGCTAACGTGACTCTGTGATAGCGACGGTCCAGAAGATTATTACCGAGATTCTACCACCTAGCTCCGGCCAGACCTTTTCCAAGGATGCGCGCGATTTGCTCATGGAATGCTGTGTCGAATTCATCACCCTGATCTCCTCCGAAGCAAACGATATCAGCGAGAAGGAGGCCAAGAAGACTATCGCTTGTGAGCATGTGGAGAAGGCATTACGTGATCTCGGATTCAGTGATTACATCGCCGATGTACTCGCTGTTGCCGAAGAACATAAGCAGCAGTTGAAGGTATGTTCATTTTACTTGGTATTGTGAACTCTTGAAGCGCATGCTGACCTCTAATCTTTTATAGTCACGAGAGAAGAAGCAGAGCAAGATGGAGCAAAGTGGTTTGACAGAAGAGGAGCTTCTAAGGCAACAACAGGAGCTCTTCCGGTCAGCGACTGACAAATACCATGCTGTCCCAGAATAGAATCACCTAAGACTCGTGCTGGTCATAGAGTGAAAAGGATGATGGCGTTTTGTGTGTTCCACCGGATATGTGGGTCTGGAGTTTTTTTCCTCAATGGTTTCTGATTTTTTCCTTCCTCTGCTTTGAGAGGATGGGTTGTGGGCAGGATATACTATCTAATGAAGCGAAATCGCACAATGCATTGGTTAATCGCATATGATCTGAATGTTTACAGGCATGGACCACCTCTCTAGAAGGCACACCGGCATACAACGTATATTCAGTAAAAGACAAGTGTTTCAGCCATGATGATGTTTGGAGGATGTCCATCTTGCTCTGGCTGAGCTCATAGACAAATCCTGCCTAGGTGACTATGAATGTACTGTGCAATATCTTCTACTGTTATATAGTTGTGTCATGATCAATCCCATTATTCTGATCTGATTTCAAAGCTCGACTATTTTTTTAAAAAAATTCTGAATATAGTATCATAGTAAATTAGTTAGTTATTGAATAGATATTCCAGAATAGTAATTCATCTATTGCAATCGACGTTTGCTGTTGTCACCTTCCAAGCTTCCAAATGTTCGGAAATATCATTCCCCGTCCAACTTCAACTCCACCAACACGTGACTCTCGATCCGCATAAACCACGCTAAACCACAATGGGAAGAAAGCGCAACCAACACAAATCGAGCCATCGCGGAGCTCCCATGCGCAGTCATCATTCGTCGCAACGCTCTGTACTGCCAGTGATCACGATGCCTCCCTTTAAGGATGAGCATATCTTGGTATGTTTGTTTCTTCGTATTTTTTGGTTCAAAATTAATCCATTTGTCTAGTTAATTGCGCCGGGTTCTCAAATGACCTTGGCGCAACTCGGCCTGCCCGAAACATTCACGCCCGCGCGATTTCGGTTCCCAACTCGCATGTTCCCTGCTGAGAAGAAGGGAGAATATGAGCCCTACCGTGTTCATGAGAGACGCCAAGTGGTCAAGGTTAACAATGGCACGGATGCACCAAAGGCGGATGTGGAAATGAAAGACGCTGAGCCCGCCGCGGCCGAGGGTACCCCAGCCCCCGAAACCACTGTCAAGACCGATGAAAATACCCAGAATAATGAGGAGCCAACCAAGACTATCGAGGAGGTCTTCTACGAGGAGGACCCGGCATCCGACGAAGGGGCAATCTATCCAATCGAGAACGGGCGCATCGTTGACTGGCCCTGTTTCTTTGCCCTGCTCACTCACATTTACAATACTTTGAGCCCACCTTTCCACACCCCTATTATGCTTGTTGGCCAGCCCGTCTGGTCCGCACGCGATCGCGAAGCAATTACTCAATTCGTCTTTGAGAAGTTCAAGGCACCCGCGTTTAGTCTTATGGACTCTGCTCTTGCGGCTTGCTACGGCTATGGTACAGCTACAGCCACTGTTGTCGATGTTGGCAAGGGCAAAGTTGATGTCACTGCTGTGACGGACTTCGCAGTCAACGAACACGGCAGGGGAATCGCATTGGAGGGATGTGGCGGAGACGCTATGACCGATCGTCTTGTTGAGCTGCTGGGTCCGAAGGGATTTACCAGGGAGATGTGCGAGCAGCTTAAGAGAAGCAATATCGCTGAGATTCTGCCCCCAGGAACCCCGCTGCCTGGGTCTTCTGCTACTGCACGCCAGGGTGTCAACCCTGCTGCTGCTGCCTCCACGGGCGGATCAGATGGAGATGAGTCTGCTCCGCGTGGCCCAGGAGACGGCACCCAGACAGGAATAGAGGGAGATAATGGCGAAGAAGACGAAGGTGTTCTTGATGTTGCTGCAATTGTCAGCGGCAACCCCACTGAATATCTTGCCAATGTCGAGAAGGAAAAGACAATTACCAAGAAAGGCGCAGTTGACCCCAAGGGAGCTCGTCTGCCTAACTCGAAGAAAGAGAAGGCGTCCTTCCAGTTTGAGGAGTTTGTTCAGTTGGAAGGAGAGAAGGCCGCAGCCGCGGATGCTCGGCAGTATGTTCGTCGTACTCGAGATATCGAAGTCAGTGTTGAGCGTTTCCTTTTGACTTCGCCGCGCTCGAAAGACGCAAACCGCCTGACTAGCGGTATCCTCGAAGACATTGCGACTCAGATTCACCACACCATTCTTGCCGTCCCAGATGCTACAAAGCGAAGCGAGCTTTGGGACTCTTTAATTATCGTTGGATGTGGAAGCAAGGTCAAGGGTATGCTTGATCATTACTATCTACAACTTAGGTCTTTTCGCTAACATTAAAACAGGCTTCACGCAGGCTTTGCTAGCTGTCATCACCCAAAAGTTCATACTTTCTCCATCCGCCACCATCTTCACGTCTGAAATTCCTTCAAACTTCACCACTCCCCTTCCGACCGGCGCCAACACACCCGCTCCTATGGGTCAACCTGGCCCGATGTACCACCCCGCGGCACATGGGGTAAACCCTCTTCTTGTGGCTGCTACTCACAACAATCCTGGTATGCCGGGCACGCCCTCCATGGATCCCAGCATGGTATCACACTATCGCTCAACTGGCCACTCCCAAACTCCAACCTCAGTCAAGACTCTGAAGCTTCCTGAGTATTTCCCAGACTTCAAGGACCAGGGCAACAGCAACGCTCCCGGCGCCAGCAGTGGCAGTGCTGGGGGTAACCCAGGTGCGCCCGGCACATCCCAAGGTGGCCATGGAATGGAAGAGGCCGTTTTCCTCGGCACTCAGATGGCTGCCAAGGTTTTCTTTGTCATCGATCAGGGCCTCAGCAAGGGCTACATGAGCCGGGTTGAGTACAACGAGAGCGGACCGTCTGCAATCCACGAATATATCCTGTAATTGCAGACTCGGTGGTTTCATACTCATGCCGGTTTATCGCACATTTCTTCGCTCGTTGTTGAACACCTTCGTCTTGGCGAAGTTTGCTGGTTTGTCTCCGAAATATCTCTTTCTTGTTTTATGCACGCTATGATCCTAGGTAGAAAAGCGATCTCAGGATGCAGGCGTAGGAATTGGGGGCGTATTTTCTAATTTTGTCAGAATACTTCAATGAACCTAAATACTCAGCTTCATTTCCTATTCATTCATACAATAAAACATTAAATTAATAATCAACTAACCAATCAAGTTTCAGAGGGCTACCTGTTGTGTCATGTGATGCATTATGTAATAGATCGGCTTATCGCGATCTGCGCCACCAAGCTTCTCTCACTACCTTCTTCGAATACTTCTCTTACCCCAGCTTTTTGATCTCTTCACCCGTCGAAGCTTTCCCCTCTTCTCGCCTTCTTCGAACACTTCCCTCGACTTCATCTACCAGCATACAAAATGGGCCGCGCAGAGGCTGGCAGTACAAAAGCCATCGGCAACAAGATCAAAAGCAAAGGACTGGGTCGCCTTCGATGGTTTTGCCAGGCATGCGAGAAACAATGTCGAGATGAAAACGGTTTTAAATGTCATACTATGACTGAGGGGCATGGTGCGAACCTCCCATCCTCTTATGTACTGGCCACCAGCTAACTTTGTATTAGTCCGACAGATGATGATCATTGGAGAAGACCCGCGCAAACACATTAGAGAATTTAGTCGCGAATTTGAGCGAACTTTCCTCGATACCCTCAGAACCACGCATGGAACAAAACCCATTAACGTCAATCATTTCTATAATCAGATTGTGGCCGATAAGCAGGTATGTCCCTAGCATTTCACCCTTTTCTGCTGGTTCTGGCTAACTTTCTCGTAGCACATTCACATGAACAGTACAGGTATGTTCCGATGGACATGAGAAGCGAGACCGAGGATGAATGCTAACTTTGAACGCAGAATGGAAAAGTTTATCACAGTTTGCGGCTTATTTAGGCCGGGAGGGAAAATGCCGGGTTGAGGAAACCGAGAAGGGCTTGGTCATCGCGTGGATTGATAATAGCCCAGACACACTTCGCCGCCGAGAGGCTATCTTAAAGAAAGAACGCCAGGAGAAGGGAGACGAAGAACGAGAACAACGCTTGATTCAAGACCAGATTAAGCGAGCCCAGCAAGCGGCGATGGCTAGCGCAACAAACAACCCAGACCCAGAACCCGAGGCAAGATTGTTGCAGAGGAAGGAAGGAGAAAAGATGACGTTGAATCTTGGACTTGGCTCGAAGAAGACAGAAACGAAACCTGCCTCGCCTCCTACGACCGAAAAGACGGCAGAATCGCCGGAAGACACAGATGCACCGACAGGAAGCACCGACTCTCCCGCTCCTTCTGCGCCTGCCGCACCAGTCAAAATTTCGATGTCAATGGGCGCACAAAAGCCAAAGAACGTGTTTGCTATGGCTAAAAAGAACCCTTTGGCCGGGAAGAAGGGTTCTATTTTTGCGGCTCCTAAGAAGATGACTGAACAGGAAAGAATCATGAGGGCCGAGATGGAGGCAATGGAGCGAAAGCGATCTCGTCCAGACTCCGGTTTCACGAACAAGCGACCAAAGGTCACTTGAAGTGGCATATCCTACATACTAAAATACATACCCAGCTACCCGGCCTGCGGCTGAGCTTATCACCATCCAAAACGCCTCAGCTTTGGGCCGGGTACATGCATTGTTTCTTCGGATTTGCTTGATCTTGCAACTGTAATTGGGGCTGGTAGATAACTGCTGTGTTGTGCATGGTATATGGGTTTTCACAATTTCCTGGTCATATTATACATATTTCAATCTGTTGTTTCATCAACATTTTCTGTGGTCGTACATAAAACTGTAGGTGGACTTCAACCTAGATATATATCCACAACTTATTCCCCTAGACCTTTTCAGGTGATGTCGAGGTTTGCAATTTAGAAGATAATGATTGGAAATCACTTGGGTATGCATCATATATACTAGCTAGACATGTAGCAATTGAATAAAATAAAGGAACATGTAACTATATGACTGACTAGCTACTAGTTGACAATTCGGATAAAGGAAGTGATTAGAATATGTTGCTCTCATAGCGTCGTAGGTAGTGGTGTGATGCTCATATTTAGCCGAGTATTACCAGGTCCCGCGTTCAATGCGGCCTTTCTATTTTTCTTTTTTTTTGGTGGACCTGTTTATCATTAAGAGTTGGCTTATGAGGCCTTGTCAAGACTTTTCAATAACTAGTCTCCTTAGGTTTTACCGATGTATTCAAATGGTGGCTGTTTATGGCCACAGACATCATTGGTGTACTCACATTTGGAGACTCATTTCGAATGCTTGAGACCGGCAAGGTGCGTGGAGGGTATGAGCTCGACAAAATACTACCATATATGCTGATCAAGAATATAGAAAAATCAATACATCCTTGACACGGAAAAATTTAATATCACTACAAGCCATTCGAATAACGTTCCCGCATTCACTGAAGATTGCAAGTATCTTTCGAGAACTAGACAACCGAGTTTAACTCTTCTTAGGAGCAGCACGAGGAAATTAAACAGAATAGTTTCAACCCCGAGAGGTGGGAAAATCCCACGAAAGAAATGAAGGATATTTCTTTGCCATTTGGCGGTGGATCAATAGGTCCAACTCTTATAGTTTGTTTGGGTATGCACCTGGCTCGAATGGAGCTCTGTCTAGCCACGGCACTTTTTTCCGAGCCTTGCCCAATGCTCGACCTTGGACGAAAGAAGGTATGACAGCCAACGAGATGGAGATGCAATCATTCTTTTTGATGGCGCCACAAGGACATCGTTGTATTATCGAGTCATGATGTTTACTCAGTATGATCTTGAAATCTTTGGGAATCCTTAGTCTCTGCTCATAGCAAAATTTCGCTCTTCGGCAAATGCTAGGAACTGTCTGAATAAAAGGACTACTGATTATCATACTAGCATTCAGTAGAGATTGTGAAGCTTGTACTCCGTAGGAAGGTCGAATGAATATGGCACCTAGAAACTAATATAATTTATCACTTTTCCAACCAAAACTTTGCTGGTGTCGGATATGTACGGAGTAATTTTGCTTACTTCTACCGGATATTATAAATTACAGGACGTGTACCATGACGCCGTAAGCTACATGGTACATAGGTAAGTTCTAGTTTCACCTTCAGCTACCTTATTGGATATATTTACAGCATTGACGACGCCAAGGGTCTTGGTGTAATCTGACATGGGGAGGTGAGAGGAAAAGCAAAGAAAAGAAGCGGAATTTAGAAGAACTTCGTAGTATATAAGTAACTACTCTGTACAGGGTACAACTGGTATAGATAGAGCCTCGACTTCCAGATATTCTAGGTTGTCAATCTGTTCGCTAGACAATGCTGTGATAGCGTCATCTCTTCTGAGTATCATGTCCTACTACGACAAGAGCAAGCACTACGAATAAACGGGAGTATCATGGCATAAACCCCCAGTATGTGCCTGAGAGACGATGCTCGGGACCACTATAGTGGATATAAGATGGCGAGGGCGAACGCATGTCGAAGTAGCGACATCGCCAGGTAGTCTGAGTTCTCATTTTGTACAATGTAAGGCTATGCCGAGGATTCCCAGAAAGATTATCTCGTAATAAGCTTTGGGGACCGGCTGTGCTAGCGTAACCTCTTTTATACGAGGATATGTCGATCAAATCCAATTAAGGGCATGAAGACTCCGCTGCCTGCGATGTTGTACTTTGCAAACAACTTGCTTAGTTACCTAAACACTTAGTTATTTGTGTATTGGGATAAAATTTCCTTTACGCATCCTGGAAATGTATGTGTAGCTACTACGTTAGTTTTTCCGCATTTTCGACACAAGTATCTAATGATGCAGCTAAGTTTAAAATGGCCCCCAACTCTCTAATTCTTTGGTATGCGCTAGTAAGCAGTATGACCCTCTTCGACGCCTATTCCAACATTGGTAAGGCACAAGAATACAGACCCAATTTTGGAACAATCTAATATAACGATCAATCCTCCCACGATTCAGCTGTTTCCAAACTTTCAAAAACCTTACTTTGACCCTCTACTACTTTCTCTATACCTTCAATCTGTTTATTCTTTTCTAAGGGCTCCCATGTCGGATATCTTGAAGAGCCCATACGGACTCTCCGTCCGCAGAAACGGCTCCTGCCTCAGCACCGAAGTAGATTGCGGCCAAACCTGGAAACCTTTCCACGCCTGTTGCCCCGGCGGCACGAAATGCCCAGCCGGCCAAGACAACGTGAAATGCTGCGAATTCGACGCAGATTGTTCCGAATTGGTTGATAACACACATTGTGCAAACAGCACTGCAAATGTATACAAGGCCGATAATTGGTTTTGTTGCGCTGATGGAGAATCGGCTTTCAAGCGAGAGAATGGGTATGTCGGCTGCACCGACGATCCATCCACCTTGGACAAACATTCAAGTATCTTGAAAATACGGTATCATGGTATATAATGCTTCGATGATCTGAACCTGTGCTACAAAGTCATAGAATCCTCAAACTGACTTTCAAACCCCTCATCTACAGCCAGTACCTCAACACCCACGCCATCGTCGACAATATCCAGTACAACGTCGGGCGTCACGACCACTACCAGTACTACACAATCCTCCCTTTCTCCCGCAGAAGCCACTACCTCTGCAAGCGCGCCGGAGAATTCGTCTTCATCATCCAATACCGGAGCCATTGCTGGCGGCGTTGTTGGCGGAGTCGCTGGGTTAGCTATCCTGGTTGCTCTACTCTGGTTCATACTCCGTCGCCGAAACCGGGCAAAGAAGAGCTTAGGAGCACCTACGGACCCAAGCCCTCTAATGTCCAGTGCTCCCGGGTCGAGTGTTCCCGGGTCGAGTGTTCCCGGGTCGAGTGTCCCCGGGTCGAATATCGTTGAGTACTACAATAAAGGCCCCGAAAGCCCGCAAGAGCTCTCGGGTCGGGAGGAAAATAAGCCCCCTCAAGAGCTTGGTGGTCAAGACGAAAATATGGTCCATGAATTGCCATCGCAGACAACATATCGGTGACAACGTGCATGGTGTCTAGGTGGGGTAAATACCAGAGAGAAAATCCCATACTCTCTCACTTCTCGTCTAAATATGTAACACAACAAACTATTTCGAATCTCTGGCGCATGTCAGGATAACATGCCACTCCTGCAACATCACCCAACATCGTTTTCATGTCTAGGACCAAACCCGAAATATAGAAAACCAAAACTGGTCCCTTTGTTCTCACATCTCACTGTCAACATAACTGCCGGCCGCGGCTAATGTGGCGTAGTAAAGGTCTGTCTCAGCGCAGATGACCATTCTGCCCTTTCCAGCGAAGTTGAAATTCGCCGTACCAGATCCAAGATAGATCTTGCCGATGAGCTTGCCAGATGGATTCCAGACGTGAACACCGTCACCACAGCCAGCATATACGTTACCCTTTGAATCGCAGTGGATGCCTTTTCAACATATTAGCCTGCACAGAATATCAATTACGGTTTGCTTGACTTACCATCAGGTGCACCAGAATGAACAAAGGCAAAGGTCTTGCGATTCTCGAAGGTGCCGTCGGCTTTCACGTCAAATTGGTAGCTGTAACACGCAGTCCATAATCAGCTTCCAGTTCAAACCAGGGAACATTTGAAACGACAGTACATACATAGAAGCAGGGCGGGTGAAATCGAGACCGAAAAAGCCGCTATCGATTCCGGTATCGGCGATATAAGCGTACTTGCCATTTGGAGAAAAAGTGAGGCCTGCTACAATGTCAGCTGCACTTTCCTTCTTGAGCCTACACACATTCTTGGTGTCCTACCGTTGGGGTGGTCAAATCCATCTGCGACAACTGTTACAGCACCTGTATCGGGGTTGAATCGGTACACTTGATCCTGCAGACCGGGTGCAGGGCGGAAGTCCTGTACGTAGCCATAGATCGTGTCTGTGAAGTAGATATCTTTGTTTTTCGGGTGAATTGCCACATCGTTCAGAGAGTTGAACTGGCGGCCGAAGTAGTTGTTAAGGATAACTACAGACCACTTTGTTAGCCCCCGAAATTCGAAGAGCTGGTGTGTACTGACCTGTGGTGTTAAATGGACTTTTCGGGTTCATAACCCACAAGGCAGGCGGTTCATTATCACCCTGACCCTCACCGGTAAATATGATCTGTCCCCGGTAATTGGTAGCTCCTAGAGCACTGTCAGTTGTCTTTAGCCTGTAAAAAGAGCTGCATGCCTACCATTGGGGTTGAGAACCATTGGCGCTGAAGGAACGGTGGTTACATCAACAAGGCCGGCGGCATCTGATTTGTGGGAAACAGCAGCCGCGTCCGCAAGAGAAATCTTTTCAATGATAGCCGACCTGTCAAGACCGGTGCTGGCGTTCTTTGCGCCTGCATTTTGGACAAAAAACACCTCGTCCGTTTCCTTGGACCTAGAAGCTAAAGTCAGACTCTATCCTTGGCTTGTAATTGATTTGCGTCTTGGACACATACCATACAACAGCCTCATGGAATAGAGGGTCTTTCGGGGAGTGTGCGATCCGGGTTAAAGTTGGAGTTTTTCCAAGGATCTCCAGGAATTCCTTGTCGTATACATGGAAAGGTTGCTGAGCTAGACTGTCCCCTGTCGACCCTGGAGGGATAAATAGCTATGCATTGATCAGTATAAGGTGCTACTGGAGACTGCAAATGAGGATTCGCATACACTCTTCGCATTGAATTTGCTTGGGGGCTGAGTCGTGTCTAGGACGTTGAAGGCTTTTTGGTCAATCAACTGCGCTTGAGCAGGAATATTACTCGAGCTGACTGGTGCTAGGAAGGATCCTAGGAGCAGCAACGAAGCTAGCGATGAAAGTCGAGATGTCATATTTGAGACAGTGCCAGTAGGTAGAACAATGATCAAAGGCAAGGGAGATTGGGCATTTATTCAGGGGCTGGGGAAGTGGGGTTAGACCCGTCATGCCTTTTTTTTACGCCGAGCCAACATGCAAAAATTATCCGGATCTTCAGTCAAAGCTATGGCGGGTGTCAATATTCTCGGAGTTGGCCCGATAATGCCAACACACGCTTGGCAGGCCCGACTCGCCGCCTATCGACGCGAGATTATAAAAGTTAGTGCTCTGATTATCTCTTAAATTGTCAAGTATCTTGTTATCAGACGAATATAAAAGGATCGTGAATAAAACCTTGGCTCGGGCTAAAATACGGCTTGAAATTAGACCTGCAAATCAAATGACAACAAGCTAGATCCACTAGAGCATTGCGTCGCATCTCAGCTACTATTCGGATCTTGCCAAGTAACCCGTCTCGCTTGACTACTTGGCAAGGACCGGGTAGCCAGTCGTCAAACTCCTCTTTTGAGGTCATGGACTCCAGAGTATCGATATGTAGATAAGATATGCTATCTAGAGCTGTGACTAGTTACATGTATATAATCTAATGAATCCGAGCTATGGGTCTAGCAGATCAGAAACACAAGCTTTTCTCTCACAAGACAATGTATATAGTTTTGTTCGGTAATTTATTTATCAACATTGGACATGTTGACTTGAATTCACTTGACTTTCCAGCTATCTCAGGGCCCATCGTACTAAATTAGGTAGAATATAAAGATCATTCATCTCTTGAGTAACTTGTGCTTTGTGTTTCCCCAAGATTTAAACAACCTACACATCCCTGGAGCTGCTGTATTCGCAAATTATTATGGCCAAGTCCTGCATTACGGTAGGACGACCGAAAGCTTTGGATATTGTTTGATTGGCCCTATGTTTAAGTAAATACAATCGATGGTGTCTTCACGTGACGTCTCCGTATACTTAAGGCCTGATAAAACAGACATGAAAGCGCCGAACTTGACTGACTGATTAACTAGTTATTGCAAATTCTGTGTGACGATTATTCTATCTTTGCATTGCGGAGCCAGAAGACATGCTATGTATATGTTAATAGATGTTGTCGGTGGATTAAATGCAGCATCATATTGGCATGTGGTGAACTCCTTTTGGCTGTTATTGCGAGAGGCACCAGGAACAAGGCAATAGTTAGATCCTGAATTTTTGAAAGTAGAGAAAGCCTCTCCGGAAAGTTAAAGTTTTCAATGAGCATCGCAAGGCCTAGCCAACTTTTGTTTCAGACCATTCCAGACCGTTTACATGTCTAGACTTGTCTTTTGTCTTAGATAGTTTTGGCCAAGTCTCACAATGCCGATCACTTTACGGGGTCTTGGTTTTGCGTAGCGTCCCACTTTATTTTCGACCGTTTTAACTCAAGAAAAGACCCATCTTTGTTCAAATTTCCGAAACAGTGAACCTGATACAGAATGCCATCACCTGTCGCCGCATTCGAGTGATGGCAACATTTCTCCTGGGGAACACCGAGTCTCCTCCGCGATTCACTCTCCAAACACGTAAGGTCTTGATTACATCCGCGTCTTCCTGGTTGAGGCCTGGGCAGTGGCGCTTCAGTGGAAGGCTGCGGAAGAACAGAATCAAACGATCCACCAAGGGAAATCTAAGCCGCTGGAGGATGGTGGCGTGCTAAGAGATTTAGCCGATGGCTTCCATGAGAAGTACGTACGAGCCAAGCCTAAATTGCGGCTTTTTCTAAAAGAAAGCGTACGCTTTTCAAGAGAATTCAAGGCACAAAGTATTAAACCATGGATCGTTACCAGGGAAGAGTAGGGGTAAGTGATGATTGGCTACAGTATGACCCATGCCCTGCCAAGATCATGAAATGTATTATGATTGGTTAAGCTACTCCAGAGTCTCAGCCAATCGTATTATATTTTCTCCTGGACCACTTCATCGATGTCCATGGACACACACATTCCACGAAATTCTATCAACAATTGAATTCGGAGACCTCTTGGGGAGGGATAGGATGCCCCTACCAGAGAAGTAGTGAGGCATTGGAGGTCATCGTGGCATGTGCTCAACTACTATGCATCTCGACAATACACTTTGACAATGCAACGGCCACAGTTTTAATAATCCCGGATCAGAGTTCCTGATAGTTCCGTTCCCTGCCCCGGACTAAAACGATCTGACTCCTGGTGGTCCCACACTAGGGCATCCTTTTGGGGTTGAACCCAGACAATGCAATTTGCAATTTTCAGCGCCTCCCCTGCCCAAATCGTGGCTTTCCGATCACCCCGACCTTAGTCCGGGACATATCCAAGGATAATGAATGACCAGACCCACAATATATTAGCCCCACCAATAAGGAACGTCCCGAATAGTCTAGAAATCCTAATTTACTGGTGGCTTGGATCTACACTATGGGTCCAATCAGACTACATTTTCTACTATTTGATCCATGGAATACAATCCAACCCCATATAATATCCAATGATATTGCTTGTATTCAGCCAAATATCCACCGATCCAAAGAGACTACTTGTAGCCTCGATCTTCGTAGAATCATCCATGGTGTACTAGTCTTTTCAGGCGGCTTGACGTATGTGCGCCCCCCAGTGGTTCGCTGGTATGGAACCAGGTACCCGGCTCTTTACGGTTCTACCAGTTACTCTCACCTCACGAGGCAGGCGTGGCGGAAGAAGACTTTATCGGTTTCAAAGGTATATATACCTGTCCTTGTCCCTCCTTTCTTGTTTCTTGATTCAAACAACCACATTCCTTTTTGGTACCACCGGTCATTCCTTCATTCATTCACTACTGTCTTTGCAGTCCAACCACATATCACATTCGTTTATATCTTTATTGATATTTACCTGACTCAATCACTCAACACAACCATCAATATGCAGTTCACCAAGTCTATTATGCTTCTGGCAGCTGCCCTCACTAGCAGCACCTTCGCCAGACAGACAACCTTCGAGCGCCGCCAGGCCATTGCTACCGGTACTTCCGGCGGTGACTGGACCTCCACTCCTTCTAGCGGCTCATACTCGACCGACGGCTTCGGCGCTTCTACCAGCTCATCAGGCTCAGGCGAGACATACGCTGGCAACGTTGGCAACCCCTACGGCAGCAACATCATCACCGTTGACGCTGCCTCCGCCAGCAACTACAAGTACGTTGCGCAGTTCACAGGCCACAACACCGAGGACTGGACTGTCGCCATCTTCAACAAGTACGGCCCCGATGGCAAGATGACAGGCTGGTTCGGCAACGCCTGCAACACTTTCACTCTTGCCGCCGGCGAGACCAAGTACGTTGCCTTTGACGAGGATACCAATGGTGGCTTTGCTGCCGCCTCAGGCTCCACCATCCCCACTGATGGTATGGGTGGCTACGCCTCCACCTGGGGCGAGTTCGATTTCGGTTCCACCACCAACAACGGCTGGTCTGGATTCGATGTCTCTGCTATCTCTGCCCAGAACGCTGGAATGTCCATCTCCGGCATGAAGATCTGCGATGCCCTTGGCTCTGTCTGCTCTTCTATCACCAATGATGCCGCTGTTGTCGATAACGCTTACACCTCCGCTGAGACTGATATCGGTGGCATTGGTGCCAACCTGGGCTCTGGTCCTGTTCGTCTGGCTGTTACCATTGATTACAGCGGATAAATTTGTTTTCTTTGAGATTTGATTTTTTACATGATTTTGAAGATAGACTCTTTTCTGTTTCGAGGATGATCTATACCCAGCTGGAATGGTTTCTGCTTCCATGTCAATATAGAGACTTATAGGCTGGTCCTTTTTTTGGTTATACAATATAACGCATTCTTTCAAATACTTTTTTTCATTGTAAAAATTTCAATTAAAAAATCTCCATTGTAGAAATCTAGGTCTTGTCTTTCCTCGTTATACTTCGGGGAGTCTCAGATGCCCGAATGTCCGCGTGGCGTTAGCGTGGAGTGACGTGAGGGATATACGCAATCGCCCACTACGTAGCCGCCACACTCCATGAGCTCTCATCTAGGAACATACCCATGTTTTAAAATTAAAGATAGAATTAAGAACAAAAATGGAGTTAAACTCATCCCATTCTGGCATAATAACGTTGGAGTATATCAAATTCATTACTAACTTCATATCTGCTGAATCCCAAACCTAATATCAAGTCCAAAATTACTTCCGTGGGCTAACAAGACCGTAGAACTTAAGCGGCTTGATACTGAATGCACCGTTCGACTCAAGTTTGTAATTGGGGTCCGCCAGCTCAAAGGTAGTCTCCTTAATAATGCTGGCAAGAGTAAAGAACGACCACCGCCAAGCCCAGAGCTTGCCAATGCACTCACGCTTACCGTTACCGAAGCCCTTCTTCGCGGCAGCAGGGAGCTGATCCCACTTCTCGCCGAGAACACGTTCGGGCTTGAAGGCCTCGGGGTCCTCGAAGACAGCCGGATCGCGGTTGACCTGACTCAAGACCGCAATCATGGGCTGGTTGTGAGCGATTTGGTACTCGCCACCGGCAAGAAGGATAGGGCTCTTATCGTCGGAGGGAATGGGCTCGATGTTGAAGCCAGGCGCGGTGGCACAAAGACGGATTGACTCGCGCAGGATGGCCTCGACATAATTGAGGCTCTGCAAGTGCTCCAGGTCGATATTGCCGTCGCCGACCACACGGTCGATCTCCTCCTGCGCCTTGGCCATCTCGCTCGGGTTCTCCATCAGGTAGTACAGAGCATAGGAGACGAGATTAGGTGCTGTGGCGGCCCCGATGAAGATCGAAATGATCTCATCGATAACCTGCGACTCGGTGAGCCTCTCGCCGCTCTCCGGGTCGGCACCGTTCAGCATCGCATCTAGAATGTCCTTGCGGGCTGTCTCTGGCTGCTCTTTCCGGGTCTTGATTACCTGCGCAGCGAACCCGCGCATGGTATTCGTGTCTCTTTCGAATTTTCGCTGGTACAGCCAGTTCAGCAGCTTAGGGCGGGTGGGTCGCTTCATCGCCTCCATGGTGG